TATTTTCGTGTAACAATTATGATAAATGGTAATTGTAAAAAAATTTAATTGCAATTAATTTTTCGGTACCCCTGGTTATCATAATATATAGAATATAGTAGCTAAAGATATTATGGCAAATTAGGATATTTTATTAGAATTAGGCAAAATTTACACTATTCAATTTCTCTTATAGAGAGGAATCAAATAGTATAGGTTTCATCTAATTAAGATCACAGAATTACAAGATAATTCCAATTTGTCACAATATCTATATAGCCAAAACTTTCTTAATTTTTAAAAATAATTCAACTTTAAATATCTTGTTATCTAATAATCTGAATTGAATAGTTTTGGTATTATTTAACTCACCTTAATAAGATGAATTAGATAATATCAAAACTATTTGATTTTGATTAATATATTATGTGATATAATTAAAAATATTTAACTTCAATATAATATCTTAATCATCTTAATATATAAGTTCTGTAATATGTAGAATTTTTTAATTAGAATAGCAAAAATATTGGTTTAACTATTGATTCATTTTTATTAATCTATCTAAAAAAATTTTATATTTTTGATTATTAGAGTAACTATTAAAATACTATGATAACTTAAAATATATAAATTTAAATAATTATATTAGTTAAATTTTTTATAGAGACCCATCCCCATGGCGACCCTACATATAGTAGCCAATCATATTTTAGAATTAATACAATTTTTTTTATATTTTTATTATAAAATTTTTAAAAATTTTAACTAATTTTAATTGGCCAATAGTAAGCAACTTATTATATATCCACATGCTCAATTTTGATTGGCTATTCATATAGGGTCACCATGGCGACCTGTCGCCGTAAACTAATACCCATTATATTATTTATAATATATTACAACTTTTATATATTTAACTATCACAAGCTAGTACTTATTGGCTTATTAATTTTTTTTTGACTTGGAATAATTTATAATATATAAAGCAAATAAAGACAAGTTTGATTTATATTTCTTTTATAGAAAAAAGAAAAAAGAAGAGAAAATAATTTTAGCCAGATATTAAATTCAATTAAGTTATAAATATCATTATTATAATATTTAAGTACATTTTTTGTTATAATATATAATGTAATTGAAATATTTTACAATAATATATATTGCTAAGCAAAAAAATTTCTTTTATTTTATCTACTACTTTGTTTTTTATAATATATTGATTATTATATTTAAATTTGAATATATAAGTTATTACTGATTTACCAAGTACAAGATTGATAATATGTTATTAAAATTGGTTTGTATTAATATAACTTTAAAAAAAATGTCTTGAATAAAATAGATAGCATGAATGTGCTACTCATTATACTAGTCAATCTTTAAATGGGGGCTGCTAGTAGAAACCAAGCAAATCGTTTTTAGTAAGTTTTTTTTTTAAAATTTTAAATCAAAATATCTCAACAACTATTAAACCAAACTTAATAAATTTTTTTTATTTTAATTCTATAACTACATAAAATTAAAATAAAAAAATTTTTATCAAGTTTGGTTTGATGATTGTTGAGATATTTTATTTTAAAGTTTTAAAAAATTTTACTTAGAAACAATTTGCTTGGTTTCTACTGGCAGCCCCCCATTTATTTTACCCCGCATTAGTAATGCAGGACGTCCACAATTATGTGATGAATAATACTCGACAGTAACAATAAAGCAGTAAATATCTAACGTTGTACTAGTCATCACATAGTATGGGACGTCCCAAATAGTTTTATCCGTTCTATTCCAAATATCTGTACTTCAATGTTGCATAAAATCAAGAAATAGAGCTTGTGCAATCCATCAAATTAGATTATCTTTTAAAATGGATTATTTTTGAAAGTAGAAAAAAAAAAAAAAATTCGCCCTATCGCTATCAATTATGGCTGCAAAATTACCTTATTTATGTCTTAAGGAAATTTTCGAATATATTTTCATAAATCGTGCCGCAACGAAATTGTCAGATATTTTATCTTGCATTCATGTTAATAAGGATTGGTGTAAAATTGCTATCCCAATTTTATGGAGAGACCCATTTGATAATAACCTTCAATTCGAACATGTCACGAAGCTAGTAGATGTATATATCGCTAGTTTTCCACCAACATTACAAAATCTTTTAAACCTTCCATCAAAAGATTTGTATGCAACAAATCCAAGCTTTAATTATGCCAAATTTTTGCGAAGGATGAACCTTACACAAATTCGTGCAGCTTCTAGTCATTGGCTAAAACACAAGAAAATAACATCTAAATGTCCAATTTTCGAGCATTTATGCACGCATTTTGTTAATTCTGCACAAACTCTCAGAATTATTGAATTTAAACCCGAATTCGATGCCATTGTCAACGTGAATATATTTACGCTTCCTAATGCTTCAAGCAGTCTTTATTATATCAGAGAATTCGATTGTTACGGTGAGCCAATCGATAATTTGTACGCGACTGCCGCAAATGTTGCCACAATGATCAAAAACTTAAGAATATCACTCGTACATGGCTGTCCAATTATGTCAACAACTTTGAATGATATATCAACTTTAATCAAGTCACAGAGACAACTTGAAAAATTTTATGTGAATAATAGAATCGGTTGTTTTTGTTGTCCACAAGATCTTTCTATGGCATTAAATTTAACAAATGTATTTAGTTCGCTTGGTTCACAAGCAAAAAATTTGTTATCTTGCCACTTTTTTTCTATCAACTTCCACAATGATTTTCCCTTAAAACAACTAGCTGAATGTCAAAATCTTCAAGAATTAATTATTTCAAGATGTTGGAATTTTGGAACTCTCGATTACTCTAATGTTCATCTGAAATCATTTGCACGTTTAAGTACTATCGAATTAATATTATCTATTATCCCTGATATGTTGGTCAAGACTTTTCTCATTCAATCTGGTAGATCTCTGAGAAAAATTAAGTTTGAACAACATTCTTTGCACGGAACTTTTTCTGAGACACTTCAATTCTGCGCTGAAAATAATCAAAATATCACAAATATATTGGCTTTTATTTATCCCGAAGAAATTTACAAACTTCCAATGTTTTTCAGTGCCTGCCAGCAATTAGAGCAGCTCGAACTTTGGGACAAAAACACTCCTAATCGAAGAGGATATGAGGATTTACATTATTCTATGAGGACTGTTGAAACAATTGACGTTAATGAAATCTTACCACGCCTTGGAACTGCAATTCCCCGTTCTTTGGTAAATTTTAAGATAAACATGAAGTGGTCTTTTACTTCTGCTTCACTTGAAAACTTTCTCCACGCTTGTCAAGCCCCATTGGAATCTTTGAGTTTTGAACATTGTGAATGTTTTTCTGAAGAGCATTTGGAAACTGTTATTCAATCGTTAAAGACACCTCTAAAACTTTTAAATATCATGCATGCAAATTTTGAAGTTACGTCAAAGATTCGCGTAAGGGTGAAATACATGATCAAAACTATTCTTAACAAGCCGGCTCATAGTCTTTAACTACATTCTGGTTTTATTTTATTTCTTAAAAGATTGTATATACATTCTTTTTTTATCACATCTCTAAAATCAATTTTTAAAAATTATATACGTGGTTTTTATTATTCATTACGTTATTATGCTTTCAGAATGATTTTTAAAATTTGTTTCAATACGTATAACTGCTTTGATCAACTACGTATATTTCCAAAAGCTTAATGTTTGATTGGCTCCGTACGTACGTACGTTTAACGGTCGAATCTACCTCTCTTCTACCCTCAACTCCCCCCAAAATTGGTTAAAAACCGCTGTTTATAAAAAAAAAAAAAAAAAATTTATTTAAGAAACTCACCTTTCATGGTCTAATTAAAAATGTTTCTTGTGAAACTTTACTTACAGATGTTTAAATAGGTTAACAATCCTACAATAATTATAAACCACTGATGTACTATGTAAAGTCGGCGTTATTAACAATGGCCTACCCGTTTGAACTAATAAAGTGCCAAGGACCTAAGTGGTCACCTTAATATTCAAAAAAAAAATATAAATATATACATCTTTTTTAAATTATATATATATATTTTTTTTATAATACACATGTTTTTTCTTCTGATTATGCTTTTTTTGTCTTGAGAATTTTTTTTTTTAAAAAAATTTTTATACTAGAGTGTTAGTTTATGGCAACTCTGTGATTAACTAATCAAAATTGATCAAGTGTATTTTTATTTTTTTTAATCTGAAGTCTGATCTAAAAAGCTAAACTAATAGCAATCAACCAATCAAATTCAATAAAACAAAAAATAATAAAATTAATAAAATTTATAAAATTTTACATAAAAAATAAAAAAAATAATTGATACAAATTTATTAAAAATTATTTATTAAAGAACTACCTCAACCCAAACAAAGAAATTACAAAACTCAACAAAAAAATTGCTAATTGCATCAAACCTAGCAAAAAATTATCAAAAAATTGCTTCAAGCCCAATGAAGCAAACCACTAACAAATCAAAGAAATACTTTTGGCATTTTATTGATAAATCATCTTGTAAACCAGAAGAACCACAAGACAATTCACCAACAAAAAATCAAAGTACAGAAGAAATATTACAAAACAATTCACCAGAAAATGCCAAAGGTCCAGAAGAAATACTACAAAACAATTTACTAACAAGATATTAAAAGACCAAAAGAAATACTACAAAACAATTTGTTAGCAAAGCATTAAGGACCAGAAGAAATACCACAAGACATTCACCAAAGAATGCCAAAAATCCAAAAAAAATATTACAAGACAATTCATTAGCAAAGCATCAAAGAACCAGAAGAAATACCACAAGATATTCACCAGAAAGTACCAAAAGATACTATAAGACAATTCGTTAGCAAAAAATCGAAAGACCAAAATAAATATTACAAGACAATTCACTAGAAAAAAATCCAGAAAAAATACTACAAAACAAAAATACCAAAGATAAATTCTGCAAAAAAAAAAAAAAAGGTAGTATAAAACTACCAAAGAAGCAACTACAAGACAATTCATCAGAGAACCAGAAGAAATACTACAAGATAATTCACTAGCAAAGTATTGAAAGATTAGAAGAAATATTACAAAACAACTTACTAGAAAATACTAAAGGCCTAGAAGAATACTACAAGACAATTTACCAACAAAGCATTGAAGGACCAAAAGAAATACCACAAAACAAAAAACACTAAAGATAAATTTTGCAAAAAAAGAAAAGAAAGGGTAGTATAAAACTATCCAAAGAGCAACTACAAGACAATTTACCAAAGAATGCTAAAGAACCAGAAAAAATATCACAAGACAATTCACTAGCAAAGTATTAAAGGATCAGAAAAAATACCATAAACAACTCACTAGAGAATGCCAAAGGCCCAGAAGAATACTACAAGATAATTCACTAACAAAGCATCAAAAATACTATAAGATATTTATCAGAGAATGCTAAAGGGTTAGAAAAAATACTATAGGACAATTTGCCAGAAGAACCAAAAGAAATATTACAAAACAATTTACCAGAAAATGCTAAAGACCCAGAAGAAATACTACAAAACAAAAAAAAAACAAAAAATAAGTTCTGCAAAAAAAAAAAAGTATACTATAAAACTATTTAAAAAAGCAACTACAAGACAATTCACTAGAGAATGCTAAAAAACTAGAAAAAATACCACAAGACAATTCACCAGCAAAGCATTGAAGAATTAGAAGAAATACCACAAAACAACTTACCAGAAAATATCAAAGGGCCAAAAGAATACTACAAAATAATTCATCAATAAAGTATTAAAGGACCAAAAGAAATATCACAAAATATTCATACTAGCAAAGTATCAAAGAACTAGAAGAAATACCAAAAAACAATTCACTAAAAAATGCTGAAGACTTAGAAAAAATACTACAAAACAAAAAACACCAAAAATAAATTTTGCAAAAAAAGAAAAGAAAGGGTAGTAAAAACTACTCAAAGAAGCAACCACAAGACAATTCACTAAAGAATACTGAAAAACCAAAAGAAATACCACAAACCAATTTACTAGCAAAACATTAAAGGATTAGAAAAAATATCACAAAACAACTTACCAAAAAACATAAAAACCTAGAAAAATTCTACAAGACAATTCACTAACAAAGCATTGAATAACCAAAAGAAATATCACAAGATATTTATCAGAGAATACTGAAAAGCTAGAAGAAATACTACAGAACAATTCACCAACAAAGCATTAAAGAACCAAAAGAAATACTACAAAACAATTTATCAGAAAACACCAAAAAGCCAGAAGAAATACCACAAGACAAAAAAACTAAAAATAAATTTTGCAAAAAAAAAAAAAGAAAGTATAGTATAAAATTACCCAAAGAAGCAACTACAAAACAATTTACCAGAAAATGCTAAAAAACTAAAAAAATACTACAAAACAATTCACCAGCAAAGCATTGAAGAATTAAAAGAAATACTACAAAACAACTTACCAGAGAATGCCAAAGAACCAGAAGAATACTACAAAACAATTTATCAACAATGCATTGAAAAACCAAAAGAAATACACAAAATATTTATACTAGCAAAGCATCAATGACTAGAAGAAATACCAAAAGACAATTCACTAAAAAATGCTAAAGACCCAAAAAAAATACCACAAAACAAAAAACACTAAAGATAAATTATGCAAAAAAAGAAAAGAAAAAGTAGTATAAAACTACCCAAAAAAGCAATTACAAGACAATTTACTAGAGAATGCCAAAGAACCAAAAAAAATACCACAAGACAATTCACTAGAAAAGCATCAAAGGATTAGAAAAAATATCACTAAACAACTTGTCAGAAAATGTTAAAAGTCCAGAAAAATTCTACAAACCAATTTATCAACAAAGTATCAAAGGACCAAAAAAATACTACAAAATATTTACCAGAGAATGCTAAAGAGCTAGAAGAAATACTACAGGATAATTTGCTAGCAAAGCATTGAAGGACCAGAATAAATATCACAAAACAATTTACTAGCAAAGTATCAATAGACTAAAAGAACTATCACAAAAAAATTCACTAGAAAACATTAAAGGCACAGAGGAAATACTACAAGACAAAAAAACACTAAAGAGAAATTCTACAAAAAAAAAATAAAAAAAAGGGTACTCAAAAAAAGCAAATACAAAACAATTTACTAGCAAAATATTAAAGTTCTAAAAAAAATATCACAAGACAATTTATTAGCAAAGCATTAAAGAATCAGAATACTACAAAAAAACTTACCAGAAAACACCTAGCAAATATCAAAAAATAGAAAAAATACTTTATCAGAAAATTTTGAAGAACTATAAAAAGAAATTTACCAGAAAATACCAAAGGTCCAAAAATAACTAAAAGAAGTACTACAAGACAAATTTATTAGCAAAATATTGAAAGCCAAGAAGAAATATCACCAAAAAATACCAAAAAGCTAGAAGAAATACCACAAGACAATTTATCAAAAAATATTGAAAAACCAGAAAAAATAAAAAGAAAGAATGCCAGAGAACCAAAGAGAAATTCTACAAAAAAAAAGAGTAGTATAAAACTACTCAAAAAAGCAAATTGCAAGACAATTTACCAGTATAGTGCCAAAGGGCTAGAAGAAATACTACAAGAAAATTTACTAGCAAATATTAAAGAAACAAAAGAAATATGACAAAACAACTTACCAAAAAGCCAAAGGACCAAAAGAATTGCCAAAATATATTCCCAAAATGCCAAATAAACAGAAAAAATTTACAAGACAAATTCACTAGCAAAGAACCAAAATACCACAAGACAATTCACCAGAGAATGCCAAAAGACCAAAAATATACAAAAAGTTTAAACAAAAAAAGTTAGTTATGTAGCTATATTAAAAAAAAAGTTTTAAACCAAAAAACTATTTAAAAGAAAAAAAAAACTATAAACATGCATACATACATGGCAATAAAAATCAACTAGAAACAGTTCGAAACAGTCACTATTGGGCCAATTTTAAAAATAATAAGCTGACTATATAAAGTTAACATGGCAATAGATTACTATCTATAATTTTTCTTTATACTATATTATATATATATATATAATATATATATATATATTTAATTTATGTTTTGCTTTTTGAACTAAAAATTTTTTTTATATCTTCTAATTATATAATTAAAAAGATATATAGTAAACTAAACAAAGAAATATACAAATATACTAAAGCAAAACTAGTAGCTAAATATTAAGATATTGTAATGAATTTATAAGAAAGTATTCTACACTAAATTTTGATAGATCAACTATTAGTAAAATTTTTAAAAAAAGTAAAGAATATCTTCATTTTTTAGTAATTACAGTATTTAATATTTTTAAAAATAATTTAAATAGATAGTTCTCAAATTTAAAAAGCAAATTTCTTTATATTAATACAAATTTAATAATAAGCTATATATAAGGGTGTGGTGACATAGTAAAGTGGTGGAGTTTTTGCACCCCAAGTTAGTTTGACTATAG